AAGGGAAAAGCTCGCCCAGCAGAGTGGTAGGAACCATCTAGAGCCCCAGCATCACTTGATATACTATAGAAAAACCTACTGTGGTGCTATTAATAACAAGTTTAAATGCCAACAAAGGATTGCTTCAGGAATAGAAGAATAAAAATAGCTTGCTCTAACATACTTGGAGCTACATTTAGAGGGTGGTAATATGTTGGTATGGTTATCACTCATAAGAACATACAGTAGCAGTGATAGTCATTCCATTGTGTATGAAAAAGACTAAAGGCTGGCAGGTATCAGTTTGATGACATTTATAGACATAGATAAATCAGGACCATTTCATATGACCAGTAGAAGACGATCTGATCTTTTTTTTTTTTTTTTTTTACAAAACTTACAATGCAGAAGTTATTGCTTAGAGTACAGAGAGAGGACGTCATGGTTGATAAGGAAGCCATCGTAGAAATTGAAATTGAAATAATAGTTAAACATATTCTTTACATTTTTAAAGATATATTTTTTTAAGAAAGCAACAGTCTGACTAACTTTGAATAGTCATTAAGGAGCCTAACTGGTTCACAATTCATTCAAAAAAGTAATTTCTTGTCAAAATAGCTAGAAGTTCAGCAATGGTATCAGTATTCATTGAAATGTTACACTAAAAAGCAGTATTGGAGTAGATTCCTATACATCGGTCTGGGTTTAAAAAGGACAGGTAAAAACACACTTAGTTGACAAAATGAACCTTCAAATTCTTATTACTTTATAATCTATGACACTACTGTTAGAATGTGTTCCTATTCAATTTGTAGAAATTAAAAAGGCAGCACGTTTTATTTTTAGATATATGTCTAAGACGGTGAACCAGGACAAAAGTAGAATCCAAATCTCGAAGCTAAATCTAGATCAATGAAATCTAAACAATACCTGACCCTAGTCAAACCCTATGTCTCGGGACAATTCTCCAGAATAGGTGTCACTGTAATTGGTGCAGCGCCGGTTGCTGGGGTTATGGTCATTATAGGCGAGCGTGGGGAGGCATAACTGCTCCTAGCGTTGCTCTCTTTGTGTGTGAAGTAGGGGAGCGAGCGAACGTACGGGGTCCTGCTGCTCACCGTGACCTGTATCTTAATGAGTCGGACAAATCAATACCAAGCTCAACAAAGAACACAAGAACTGCAGCTGCCATAGACAAATGTTTTCTTAGGGTGGCAATGAACATGAGAGGAAGGTTAAGGTCAATTCTGATTCAATTATAACAATTTGAAGCGCAATAAAGTCACAGATACAACAATACTTGAATTCTATCAAATATTTGATCTTCCACTATTAATGTATTTATGTGCTTTCAGTTAAGAACTAAAGCTATAGCATTACTTTTGTTTGAAGACTTGTTGTTTCACACAGAATCCAAGTATCAGGGCATCAATGTCTCCTGTTTGAGGCAATCTGGAACCATTGGTAATATAACATCCTTAGTTGTTTTGTGCCTTTCTTCTGTCTTTATAAAACATCAAAATAAAAACAATTCTCCAGAGTTTGACAGACGGATTGACTGACGACTGATGAAGTGTTTACCAGTGTGGGCGACACTCTTTTTGTTTTGTTTTTTCACTTCACAAAATATTGGAAAGAGACAGTATCATTTGACTTGACACTAAAACTACCAGTGGGCTCAGAGAAATCCTGACGTTTCCAAAATACTTTCACTCTCATCAGTGGAAAAAAAAAAAAAAAAACTGCCATATCGTATTCATCACTCACAGGAAGACTATGTCAGCCAACACTAGATTGATAAGCCGTGAAACAAAATGTTATGCTCTTGAAACAAAGGCAAAGCTACTCTGAAGATGTCGAGATAATTTTTTAAATTGTATTAACTTTATTTTCTAATTATCACTATTCTAACAATGGTTACAGCGATATAGCATATATTTATCTGTGAATTGAGATTTAGCTAAAAATCCTAACGCTGTGTGAAATCAAAAATGAAAAGGAACGCTAATAGCATTTAGCTGCTCAAGGATATAGCAGAGCAGCCTATAGGATAATGCATGAGGTGTTAACAGGTTTACTGGGGATAAGGACTGAACAAATCACCTTTGAAAGCTCCCTCTGCAACTAGATTATGTGCTTAGTCAGTACAGCACACCACAATCTCTCTCTGAAGCTCTTTCCCGATCAACTTATTGACTTTGCCTAGCTATCAGGACCTATTTCCCAACCGATTACTGATGCTTATGTACTTTAGGATGATGTAAATGTAATTTCTAGGGGAAACTACACAGAGATAGGCAGTTAGAAACATGTTATTCGAAGATTAACAAAAAGCACATAATACAGGTTAATAAACTTTGTGAATAAAAAGAATGAAAACGTCTCACACAACGATGCAGCAAGAAGGTCAGGCAAGAGAGACAACAACACAGGCATACACAAAATACCTTAAAAACATGTTTTATGTATCATCAAAGTCGTGTTTTATCAGTGTGCGAAGCGGACAATCCCAGAGTTTGACAAACACATAGAAAATAAATGACAATGGGTGGGAGACGCCTCGGGCGAGAGGCTGCCATTTGAAAAAAGGAAAAGTCTATTTCAAGTTGAAAAGAACAGTGACTGTGTGGAAGCGTCCGATTTGACAATTACATGAGTGCTGCGAACGGCACTGCGCCTTCACTGATAACCCGTCGGATTCTATTAAAACTCCGGCCCTCCAAAATAATGTTCAGACTCAGGAATTTATCACACACACACACACACACACACACACACATTTCAAAAAGCCTGTGACAATGAGTCTTTTGCTGCAGTATGTGTCCTTTAAGGAAGTTCAGACAAACTGGAAGAGGAGAAGAACCATCAACCAGATTTGGGCAAAAAAATAGAAGTAAGAGACAAAGACTGAAACACTATATGACATCGTGCATGCTCATACTGAATGCACAATCACTGCAATGCAGCTATTTGTTGGTTTAATGGCTCCTAATGGCCCTAGGTTAGCCTTGGGGCCACAAGCAAGCTTTATAGCATATCGACGAGAAAGTTCCTTGAGCATAGGGAGGTAGTACTTAAAAAGTATGGAGACAATGACATTAGAAAGCTTCTGTAACAGTTGTGAGATCCACAACCCATGATCCTGCTCTTATATCACAGGTGCAAAACAGGTGTTATATTCTTGCCCTTCCTCCTATCGCCTCGCCTCATTTGTCATGTCTCCCTCCTTTCAAAAATAGCAGAAATTAAATTACAGAAATCCTACAACTGAAACGGTTTCTTCACAGATGCTGAAGGGAAAAAGCACATCCCATCATGAGTCACCCCTGTCTAGCTATCTCTCTTTTTGTCTTTCAATTGGATCGCCGTTCCAAATGAGGGATCCCTTGTACACTTGTCCTGCGGGCGTGGAATCACGTCCCTTTTCTCCCTCTCCCCTTTCAACAGAAAAATGATTCATTTTTCTATTACAGCGATGAGCGTGTGAAATGAGCTATATAATCAATAGCATAGGTTAGTAAACAGTGGGCACACTCCGGGGAAAATGTGTTTTCTTTTTTGAAACAATGCACTGCCTCTGTGTTTGCGTGTGGTAAAGAATGCTCGTCTGACAATGTTTACAAGGGCAATTAAGAGGAAGTGAAGACACAGAGTTCTTAAAAATGAAGGTGGCTTATATAACAAAGCAGGATGAACAGGCAGAGAAAATAAAATATTGAGCTGCAAGATGTGGCTACAGCAAAGAGGGGTTTATTTATTTGCCTTTTGATTTGATAAAATTCCTACGTGTGAGTGTGAGGTTAATGTCAACACGCACAGGACATACCTAGAAATTACGGTTTAAAGTTACACTCACACACCTGACATTTAACACTGCCTAAGGCATGACCTGTTGAGTGGAGCGAATATGTTCATTTCTGTGTGCTGATCATGAATTTGCAAACATAAAATTGGACCCGTCTCTATATAAAAATTGCTCTCACCAGTGAGTCTGTGCTTGTAAGGTTGTACAGTTCCAATGTTTGGAGCCCCTGACGTGAAATACTAAAAAGTTTCATGTGATATCAAATGTTAGCATTTCATTAAGCAAAACCTGAGTACAAATAAACATTCATAACTGAACGCGTTGGCAGCTCACATTTGTCAATCAAAATTCAGCCCCATTCATTGTGTACTGCAACCGTCTGACTCACTGCTCAAAGCATCCTGGGATACCTAGCCACGCTAACAGAGCTACCAGCGCCACTTTTTAATATCCACAAAAAGGAAAATGTGGACACACTGTTTGGAAAATATAAATTCCACACGATTGACCAGCTGAGCTGTGCAGAGCGACTCTAGACGAACTGTTTAGCTTTCAGTGGGCAGGCAGAGTGAGGCAGACATCGCTCAGGGTGTAAGCAAATCTGCTTGAATCTGGATGTGTATGGCACACACGAGCATGAATGAGCAAAGAGTGGAGAGAAGGAGAGGGAAAGAGATCAGACCAATAGATCAGATATGAGTAGATAGATAGATCAGATAGATAAATGGATAGATGTAGTATACAGATAGATTACAGGCGGCATGTAGTTAGGCAACTAATTGCTAAAGAAGATGCAGTGAGGGGCTGGCTGAGACTCTCGAGGAAGTTTAAGAGGAGCAGATAGTTTTGTTGCACTTGATTGGGTGGGATATGCATGTATATATTATTATTGGTTTAAAATGAATTACATTATACATCTCAGAGTTAATCCCGCCCACTTAACATCCAATGTGAGAAGGACAACATTTTTCTAAAATGATTAAGAAGTCATATCTAAAACTTAAAGAAAGTTGGTGTTAAGTATAAGATCATAAATAACAGTTAAAAAGTTTGGGGATTGGGGTGACCAGGGGCTTTAATATATTTTATTTTTGACACTGTGGTGAAGGACAGCCAAATGAATAGAAATATGTACAGACATTTTTGTCTAAATAAATGAGGAGGTTAGGCTCACAAACAATGCCATCCATTTAGGGTAATCTGGGGAAAGACTTACAAAGAGTTGAGCGCGGAATTTCTCGTCCTCAGTGGCGATCCTCTCCCTGAGCACAGCCTGCTGCAGGCTCTCCTGGGCCACAGCTCTCTCCACTGACAGGATCCTGGACACTTCATCCTGAACCTGGGACTGTGCTTCAGTCTGAGCCTGCGCTGCTGACCGGGCCTTCTCTGAATCCAGCCTGTGGAGCATTAACATTTCACATGATTAATAAAATGTACACTTTTTTTCTTAAACTTTTTTTACATCTATGATGTGCTAAAGAAACTACACAAACGGATGTTACATTAGAAAATAAAAGGACTTCATGGCATCCCTTCAGCTAACTCTATAACGCATACCTGGCTACTCAAATTTCCAATGCACAGAGATGCATTATCCAAGTATGGTGCACTGCCAACTGCACCGCAATCCATTTGTGATGCCTTAAGATGTCTATATCGTATTAAGTACTATAAAATAGATTTTTTGCGGATTCTTAATTTCAATCCAACCCTAAACTACATTGAAAACTTTGAAACATCTCAAAGCATCTGTTGCTTAATATAGTAAAACATAATCCATATCAAGCACAGATAGTAAATTGACTCATATATATCTTCATTTTCAGAGCATTAATCATTATATTTTATGAATTATTTAAGTAACTTCGGTGTTTAAAACCTCAACCCTCTGCCTTCAAATGCTACACTGCATGCTGCAGTCCTAAAAGTGTCTCCCCGAAGAATTAAAAGGTCACAAATGTGATTACAGTGCTAATGAAGCATATATAGGCCAATACACCCGTTTATTGATTTTCAACCTTAATGTCAGAGTAATCCATACACATGTCCTTGCTATTCGGCAGTGAACAAAAAGTGGGCAACATCGAGGAGTCCAACGTACTAAACAGTGGAAGAAAAGTTTGTAGTTGAACTCTGACAAAGTAACTAAAATTCATTTCAAGAAGAGAAATTTGACTGTAAATATATAACAGGCACAACCATCTCCTCAAAACAATAGACATCAATGTAAAGAAGCAGTGATACAGACGGAGGCAGAACGCTCTCAGCAGACACCAGACCAACATTTGAACCCTGTCACTGGGTTCTTGTTGTTGCCTAGCAACACACTCCCTACTACTCTGCGACAGTGTGCTTGATTGGAGAAGAGGAGGAACGTCCCTGAAACCCTGAAAGTCTCTCTGCAAGGAATCAAACAGTGGTGGCGAGGTAAAATAAACAGAGAACAGGGAGAGCGAGTGCCTGAGTGAAATATGACAGACTGAATAAAGACGGAGAGGATCTTAATAAAGTTCTGCCAGAGAAAGATCCAAAGACAGCTCTGACAGACAGCCGGGATGAGAAGGAGGCAGACTGAGCTGAGAGTGATGGTGAATGTTGACTGTTTTGTGACCTATTCCACTGATAAGAAAGTAGTTCAGTACAAAATTCCTTCACAGTGAAAATATCAGCTTTTATTGTCATCGTCTACTTTTACTGGAACAGTGAAGATAGTGGAAGCACTAGTAAACCAAAGCAGATGTTTCTGAACGGTGAATTACCTGTACTGCATGAACATTGTTTCTGATTTACGCATTAATGTATAAGGCTGTTCGGATAAAGATACCAGTATCAGCAGCTGTGGAAAAGACACCAACTGTCAGTACAGAAGTCCATAAATCCTTTATTTAACTTTTTAGATACAGTCTAAATTATTCGGTTAATCCGTTGTTATGATTCTCTTACAATATATATCAACTATTGCGCCATCATTTTATAGTCATATTATCGATATGGTCTGCAACGAATGACAAATTGTATGATGAGTTACATTGTGATTCCCAACCCTAGTTTAATTACCATTCGACAACATTAGCATCCCAAATCCATAGAAATTACCTAACCTACAGTAGAACCTTTAAAAAACAATAGAGTTGAACCAATAATGCTAACAGTATCAGTACCAGCCTCAGATACTGCCTTAGTGGTGGTAGTAGATCCAGGTATCGACATGTTCACCACAATAAACACAATCGCAGAAGTCAAAATTGAACGCAATGAAACGGAAAAGTTATTTCATGTAAATCAGCAAAGCTTTCTCACTTGTACGTTTTACCCCTCAAATGGAGGCCTGGGTTTATTGACCAAGTTTTAACAACGTTTAGATGCATGTTTACGAAGCTCAAGCTTAATATAAGCTACCCACAGACTGTCACCAATATAGCGGTAAATTTTTTTCATATCGGGCAGGGCTAATTGTTACAGAATGTTTTTATTTATATATACACCGGTATATAAAAGCACCCACCGATATGCTAATGTGAATGTTTTTTTTTTGTTCTATTCTATTTTAAAATCATAATAGATCTGTACATTCACCTGTGAAAATTCAAAAATGAAGGCATTGAGGAATCATGATGCACAGACTCATCTAACTGATCACCGTCCCGTGCCTCTGGCTTTGAACAGACAACAGGTAAGCTTTAATAAAAATGTGCCTGACGTCTTAAAGCTGCCATTTTGCCCTGCAACGCCACTAAATGTCAGAGAGCAGCTGAGACAGAAAGACGGCGAAACAGAGGGAGAGAGGAAGAAGCGCGAGTAAGCGGCAGCGGCATGACATGTTTGGCCCTGAGGAAGTGAAGCAAAGAGGGAGCGAGGCAGAGAGTGGGAGCAAGAGATGGAGGGAGACGGAGAGAGACCAGCCATGTCCAGTCTCACAGTCCACTGGGCTGCGCACGTCAGCACACTCCATCCATCATCTGGCTCTGACTCTCACACACAAGAGACACACAGGGAGCCTCCTAATGGCCTTTTACATTCACCATTTCCCTACGACACACACCCGCCTGCACTGCTAATGCACCTAGCTGCCTTTACTCAAGAAAATCTGTTGTCTTTTACTAATATGGCAAACAACTATTTTGCCCAAACATGTTTTAAGTTTAATCTGCACATAGATTATTATAATGGAGTAAGTAATTAAAAGTGAAATGTAAAGATGCCAATGTTTCCTTCATTCTAGGCTTTACCGATGAACCTCGTATGACAAAACTTGTGTTGTCCACCTAAACTGAAGTCTGGCGTACTATATAAATCGTTTTGTCACTGGTGGGACTTTCCTGTTTAAGCTATGCCAAATTGCTGAAATTTTTCTAACTGTGACTTGAATTGGTTTCTCTGCTAGCATCATAGTTTTTTTTTTTCTATCCTCAAGTAATAAATTACCAAAAATTCATCACCGGGATTGGCTAAGAAGAATTGTTTTCAAGAGAAAAAAAGTTGGTCAATCTGTTATTTTTCTAAAGGCTTATATATTCCAGTATAAGGTGATGTTGAATGAATTTCCACTTAGTATCAAAGTGTATCCTAACCTCTGATGAAAGGAAATCCAGAATTCTCTTTAAAAGAGGTCCTTTTGTTTTAGGTAGTGAAGACAAATTGATCAAGGTTACCTAATAATGTAAAAAGCTTTATAAAAAGGTATACTGTATATATCCACTTACTGATGTCTTCTTTGGGCAGTTTCCAATTAAGAAAGTGAAAAAAAAGCTATATTTTGTTGTCCTTGAAAAACTTGGAGAAAAAAAAATTAAATTATAAGACAATCTCACCAAATACCAAGTGTAATATTGACCCAAAGCTACATTCTGAAAAAGTAAATGGACAGCCTTGCAAAAAAGTCCTTCTTCTCACTTCCTCACAAGTGCTAACCCAAGCAAAGACTGCTATCACTAGCTGGGGATGCTATCTGTCTGCTTCACCACTATTGCTTTCCAGTCATTATTGCCCTGTCCCTGGGATATTGGACGCATTTTTCATTCGGCTCTGAAAGATTGGCACCGGGAAGGAGAGGGAATCTTCGAGGAAGAGAATGGTCGAGTCAGACAGGAAAGGAAAAAAAAAGACACCACCTATGTATGTGGAAAGAGACAAAAAAAAGGGAAGTCTTCTAAAGATAAATGGCTGATGTTTGGTCAGTGCTGGATAGAAAACGAGGACATTCTTGCCAAATGTAAACATGGTCCCAAATGATATGAAGTCAGTGCTTTTAACAGCCAGTTGACTCCATTATCACCACCACAGAACTATTTAAATGTCTTTACCCGAGCAAAAATATCAAAACATAGGAATATAAAAATGCATGTCGTCTGTCTCGTCTCCTTTTACCTGCTGTCTCTCTCCTCAGCTCTTCACCTCATAATGTTTCCTGTTGTCTTGCTGTCATCATCATAAGATGTTTCTCAATACAGTGTGCCTGGCAGGATGGATTCTGACAGACCTGCATAACAGTGCCGACTGAAACAAAGGCATTTAAAGGGCCCGATGCAATATTGATGTTAGGAATAATGCCGCTGAATGCTGCCTATGAATATTTTATGGAGCTATGCACTCTCCCTGACACACAGGCACTCTCACACACACACACACACACACACACACACACCTCACACACCTGTCTGTGGCTGTTATGAAACACTGGGACTGGGATAAAATTAAGTGTGTGGGGAAACAAAGGACAGTGTCATGAGGTCTTTAATTTAGAAAAGCCCCTTCTCTGCAGAAGAAACAAAAAAAGATGTATACTACCGTTTGACTTTGATCACAAATATGAGTGTGAAAAGGGTTAAGTTCTAAGGCTGGAAATCATTGTCACTTAGCGCTCAGCCTAAAGTCATTTAATAGACTAAGAGACAGAGCACATAGTCTCTATAGTCAGTCAGAGTAATAAATTTAGAGCCCTGATGATGATTATTTTGAACAGCTGTCAGGGTGCCTTGCAGCATTTAAACACGAGGATTATGCTAATTCAGTTAGTAGAAAACTTAAAAGACTATTTTGAATATTTGACAAACCATAGACAGTAGATTTCTTAGGAGATTGGACAATGGTGACGCAGCACAAGTTAGATACAGGGAGAAGAGTCAGGATGGTGTTAAGAGTTCTCTCCCTCCGTCCCTCTTGCTCTCTCGTCCCTTTCGCCGAGTCGTTCTGCTCTGATGCTTCACAGAGAAGCGGTAGAGGCAAATCTGCTCCCTGCAGCCGCTCCTTGCTACAAATGAGTTTAGGCTGCACCCAAATGAACTCCTCACAGAGCCTTTACTTCACTAGTACCCAAGCAAAACATGCAAAGCCAGATCTCTGGGGTTATGGTCCAGCCTTAAAGCCAATCAGAAGAAGTGCTGCCTAATCTAAACTACTCTTTTCTTCAAAATTACACTAGGGTGCAATATTGCACTGAATAGAATTAAGTAATTACAATATGTGCGCAAATAATTAGATTTTACACAAAGGCAAACTGAACATGTTCGTCTGCCTCAGGGATGTCTGATGTCATTTAGTAAGACGTCATTTTTTTGCTTTTGTTGCAATGAGAAACAACATGCATTATTTAGCAGTAAGTGCTTGGCAAAGAAGAAAGAAGCAAACATCGGGTTTAACAAACTGCAGGTGCAATTGTTTGAGTTGGACATGACCTTGAGATTTTGGAACCATGTATCTCATGTGTGTACATGTTTGTGTGTTCTCTCCCACTGACCTGGGGGTTCACACATTATTCCATTTCCCTGTGTTCAAGCTGTGCAGCACTTTCACTGCAGGGTTCTGTAACTAGTGAGCCACTGTGCAGGCTTGTTAGCTGAGCTTTGACACACACACACAATTGTACCTTTTACAACATTGTCTTTTTTTTTTTTTATTAAATTGTCTTCCACCACAGCGAAGGCCCCAATCATAGCGCCTCCTCTGCCTTCCTCAACCAAAAACTCTGTAATTGCTGCCTACACTGTGAGAAGGTGAAATACCAATGCAATTTAATAATACTTTGACAGCACAGAAGAAGAAGAAAAAAAATGACTGTGGTCCTCTCATCTATATCAATTAAAAGAAAGAAGAAGTCACCTTATCTGCAATTACATCTAATGAATAGAAAAGTTCAGCAGTGGAGGAAAAAGAAGTGGATGACATTTTCAGTTCTGAAGGACGGTGGTGTTGAAGATTGAAAGGAAAGTTTTACATTTTTCATATTCAACATTTTTCAACTCACATGACACACAAGAATGAGCATATGCCCAAGCTAAATATTTGTAATTTTATGTATAAAAATATACATTTATATACTCAACACTTCATGTTTATTCCATTGTAAATCACTCACATTTCTATCATTATACTTTCAGTTGTTTTGGTGGAAAGTTGAATGTGATAAATAAACTTTCACAAACATGCTGGGCCAGAAAGAAACAAGCTCTGTACTGTCAGATTGATTGCGAACATTTGGTCACAGGTGGTTCTGATGTCGAAGTGATATGATGTTTATATGAACCAACCAATGTGCTAAATATTGTGAATCCCAAAAGAAAATGTGGTGGTGAAAATCTTCTGTTCTGCACAAAAATGGAAAAACAAAAAAAGCCACGACACAAAAAGTATGTTTAAGTCAGCAGAATAAGCTTCTACTAATCTTATCAACATAGATTTCAAATATACAATAATAAGGAAGCTCTATACTCAATGTAGAAGTAAGCAACAACCTGATATTGCATGGCTTAGAATTTGATCAGATGCTAGCCACACAACCTGAACATACTGCTTATGTCAGCTATTGTCAATCAAATTAAACGTATATTTAATTTAAGTACCGGTAAACATTTTAGTGATTTATATTTCATTACATGTATTTTCATTTTCCACGACTTGATTGATTCTAGAAAATGAAACACTGAGCAGCACCTTTGAAGCCCCTCTTGAATGAATGCACCCTGATAAACTCTATTATTAGGAATGGAAAAAGGACAAACACAGACTCATAATACACACTCACAACTACAGAAATGGAGTAGAATGAAAATAAATGGTGCCAAACGATCAGAAGAAAAAAACAAACCTCACAAAAGACCACATCAAAAGTGAAATGAATATGAATCTACATACTGACATACACACACAAGTGGCTAACTGATGATTGCTTATTTACCATTTCATGTTCAGTTAAGTCTTCTTAAGTGAAAACACGGACTGCACCAAGCTCAAACATAAAATCGAGGGCTTAAAAGCTGCTATGATTTCAATTATTTGCAAGGAGGGCATTATTTTGAAGCACTTACTTCTCTGAGCAGACATCAATAAGTGAACTGCAGGAAGTAGTTACATAAAAAAAAAAAAAAAAAACAGCAAAGGGAAAAGAAAATCAATAGAAAAAAGATTTCTGAAAACCACTCGTTCATTTCTCTTTTCATGAAGGGACTCAAAAGCAAGGCTGAAGGCTTGGCTAATGCTAAGTCCTCCTGGATATGGAAAGGTTGTTTTTTGTTCTCCTGCATACAGTAGAAGCGCGTGTTTAATGGTTAATCAGAGATGTTCATTCTCCAGGGTCTGATGTAGATCATCCAGGCCTATTAAAGAGGTGGGGCAACATGATTATTGGACATTATGGCCGATGCACCTGCTTCTTTAGGGTAAAAAAAAAAGGAAAGAAAGAATGGGAGAGGAGGAGGAATGTACTCCTTACATGAAGTGTGCGTTTCTTCATCAGGCAGGGCTAATGTATCACCAACTCAACACCCAGGAAATTACCTCAGGATAGGGCCCTCCACTCTCAGGCATGATTAATTGATCCGGAGAGAACAAGAGGAGCAGAGACAGAGGGAGGAAAAAGTGCTGATGTGCTTCGGAAGAGGGGTAGATTGGAAACACAACGGGGATCGGAAAGACTGGTGCTGACCTTTTTGACTATTAATGAAAGTGGGAAATGGTAACATCTGGAAATGTCTCAGGTTTCTAATGTAATCCTGGTATTGGAATTGACACTATTGCAGGGTACCTGATTCAATATTTCACTATCCAACGTCAGGTTGTAAAAATATCCAATACGTCTCGATATTTTCAGACACCACATGTTTTAAAACAATAGAATCGATAGTATGAAAGAGTACCAGTGCTTTCAAGAAAGACTTCAGATCTACAGTCACACCTTTAACCAAAAGCTGCCACAGAAAGAGACAGCACTTCCCAAATGACACAAATAGACGTTGCCAACATTTTCGCGCAATTTGCAAGTGTGCAGGAGTTGTGCCTGCAGTTTATGATAATTTAAAACAAGGAATAACTGAATATTGGGTGCCAAGGACTTCTCTTTTTGTTGCCATGGTATCAAAAAAAGGTATTTATATTGTTTGATTTTTAGCAAAGCTCAAAATCTGGGAGCGTGACAATGCTGATCCAAAGAAGAAAAGATGTGGAAAGTCTAAACGTTTCTGAAGATTATACAAAAAAAATACTATCATTTAGCACAAAAACATTGTGTGTGTGTGTGTGTGTGTGTGTGTGTGTGTGTGTGTGTGTGTGTGTGTGTGTCTCTGTTTGAGTCTAACCAGGCTTGCAGCTCTTGCTCTGCCTTGGCTCTGTCCTGCTCCAAGCCCTCATGCAGCTCAGCAGTGATCTTCTTCCTGAGGGCCTCTTCATCAACTGGGGAGAAGAGAAACGAGAGAGGTGTTTTTTTTTTTCCTTTCTTTTTTTTTTTAAAGTAAACAGCTATTGTTCGCTGACAGGCATATTGTGTTTGTTTGGCCACTGAATAGAGTCCTATTGTATAAAGAGGTTAGAGCGAGAAAAAGGTAGGTGGGTGTTTTTCAAACAAGTGTCGGAAAATCTGCATTAATCAGAAAATGTGTTGTTCAAAATTAACATATAAAATATAATGATTAAGTGTGAGGTCCAGATTGGTCTGGCTGGGTTGTTACCAAAGCTGCAACTATTAGTTGACAAATGGGTAGAATGACTGACAATTCATTGGCAGTCATTATTTGTTATTCTTAAATCAAAAATGCTAATTGTTCCTCAGTATCAGCCAGTCATGTATGCAGTTTTCCCTTTTTATTTCAGTGTAAAAGTTGAATTATGTATAAATGGATTTTGGACAGATGGTCAAGCACAATCATTTTAAAGCAATTTGATGACATCACTTTGAGATAAAGGAAATTGACATGTTTCACTTGTATCTATCTTGTATCAAATAAAAAGTTGTTTGACTCTTGCAGCAAAATTGAATTTGAAAATTTGAAAAAACGAAAGCTTTGTATTCCGAGTGTTTGTGACTAAAAATGTCTGTCTTCAGTTTCTGAAAAGTAGTGTGTGTGCATGCCACAAGATAAAGTATTAACACATTAGAAAAATCCTATATTGTTTTTTCTCACACACACACAAAATGTACAGCACACACATCCTCCTTTCTCAAATCCCAGCAATGCGCCACCCTATCTACATATATTCATGTCAGGGGACATCATACACATACGATTCCATGTCCCCACCGCTCTATCTTGGCAGGTAATTAAGCATGAAAGTAAAGATGCCAGCTTGCAACCCGACAAAAACGTGCTCTGAAGGTAAAAGTGTCATGCCGTGTGCTGCAACACTGCAGTGTGTGTGTGGTGCGTGTCTGCGTGTGTCAAGATTACTCTCCCACTGCATTTGTTAGATGGGATAATCCCTTTTGTCAGAGTCTATTATTACCTGGTAACGTGGAGTAAGTGGACATGCACGCAAAACCTGAAGTCCAGCTAAATCTGATTGGCATTAAGAAGTATAGTCTTTCCTTTGATCTTATTGTTAAACCTTTATTTTAACATGCTTTAGCAGCAAAGTTACAGTCCCTACTTTGTAATTTGACTCTTGGAAGTACTCTGTTGTCTGCTCTACAAAGTAAAGAGGATGAATAAGCAGGTCAAGGTTAAAGTAACTTTGGTATAACCTGTTTCTTCTGACATGCAGTCAAAAGAAGTCACTAGTAGACAACTTTCCACTGCATACTGTTCAGTCATTATAGACCAAGACTGCCGTTACACCGTCCAATTCATGAGAAAATCATTTTCATCTCGTCTGACAGCACATTGATCTAACTGTAGAGGAGTGTCTAATTACAGCTTTTAAACTGTTAGACAACCTGTGCAACTGAAATCCTAACTCCTAACTGCCCTCTTGTTCAGTAGCAAGAGGAAATGCTATGGACAAATTGAAGCCAGCATAGCAAAAGCATTGCACAGATAATAAAGCCTGATATTTAATTAAAATGTTATTTAAAAACCAGACCAGTGCATCACGGGCACCAATGGCTATTCACTGAGTTTCTCACACAAGGGCAAAATAAGTGATATTTAATTTGGTCATCATTGCCAACACTCTTGACAAAACGGGTCTTTGCAAGCATTTAAATCCGTTCACAGCATCAAGGCTGTACTAAATCACAAGCTAATGCTGATTGTGACGACAAGAAGCGATTACATTAGGAATACATGACTTTCATGGACACCAAACCCAAGAGGTACTAAATCAGAGTTCAAGCCCTATCAGTATGAACTCTCTTAAGATTTACACGTCACAATCAAATGTCCTTCAAATATTCAGACTTATTGAAAACGCACACCCGTAGGCAACGCACAGTGGAAAGTAAAATGATATAAAAGTCCTTTAAGTTCAGGCAAACCTCAGCAACTCCTCTGCTATCGCCAGATCCTCTTCAGCCCTGCAGAGAGGCTTCAGATATCTAGCAAGCCCGCAAGGTCAACCGGAGAACAGGTTCTGATATGATAAACACTGTCTGGGGTCCTTGAGCAAGTTCTGGTTAGGGTCAGAGACAATTCCAGATCGACAGCGCCCGTGTCAATCCTGAGTAGGACATGTAAATGTTAAAAAGATTAAAAACTCATCATCTTTTTTAGACGTGTCCCTCTCCTTTCCGTCTCCACCAATCACTGAACCCAGTGGAAAAAAACCCATTGAGAACGAGGAGAGGCAGTGAAGCACGGGCTATTGGCAGTGGAGATAATAGATGAAGGCAAATTGCGTTTCTCATCAGAAGTTTCATTAACCCCAGGACCCGCATGGAGGGCATAATCTGTAACATTACTACTTCCTCACGTTTCTAGCTAGCGCTTAGTTGAGTCACAGCACACCTTTCACAAGGTTCAAAATAAGAATGAAAGAAAAAAAAAAGCCCAAAGAGCAAGCTTCCAGCCCCGGCATGCAGGTGCCAATTCAGTTTCTCTTTTATGCACATGCTTTCCTGTTAATTCAATCTCATGTTATGAAAAGGGAACTAACGTATCATTTTTACATTTTACCAAGATGACAAGAAAAGTCTGCTTAAAAAAAAAAAAAAAAGGAGAGTGATATATTTCACAAGTTTCTCACACAGTCACTCACATCCCTCCTATTGTTTCCTTTGTCTCCACTGCTCTCCCATTCTCTCTGCTGCACCTGGGAGACATCTTAAAACAGGCTATTAGTCCAGCGCAGTGTGTGGGCTCTGACATATGAATATTTATAGCACATTGGAGAAGGTGTAGGAGGTTCAACCTTGACTACGGCGTAATCAGCACACATACTGACTCAGGCCATGATTTAGAGACAGCTGACCTGCAGAGAGCCTCACTCGATACCTAACTCTCGTGGATACACATAATCAATGCCCGCCTCATTACGGCCGTACCCTTTCAGGATTGGGCTGAACTTTGCAACTTTTTTAACAAGATTCACAATCACATTCATCATGCTTTGTATTTGTATTTTGTCACTTAAAAAGAGCGCACTTGATAAATATTCCAAGTGGAATTTGTGTACATATACATATGAGCTCTGAGGTGACCTTGCAGACGAACACCTGATGTAAATGTCAACCAACATTATTGTTGTGTGATACTGTACAATAAGGGCCAAAGCCTGAGGGAGTCAGTCCTCTACAAAACTGTAAACCATCAATATGGGTTGTATGCATTCAGGAAACATGAATGCACTTGAAACATATGTTTGAATATTGTGGATTCAAGAAAACAAAACTAAATGTTAAGAACTTGTTTTTTTTCTGTTATAGGAACATTTTAATTCCGTTTTGGGACAGTACAAAGTGTAGCACTTAGCATTGGATGTTACATGAACTGTGATAAATACAAATGCAAATCCCACTGTGCTGATGGCATATAACCCTTTTAGGGTAGTATGCTCCTTAAAAAAATAGTTTTTCAAAAGTTGAAAAGAGCATATATTGTGCTGTTAATATTATCACAATATATTGAATCGTAACCACTGTATCATGACATGTACTGACTCACTCCATTCTTGACAACACACAGCACTTGTACCTAACAAGCGATGTTTACACTTACAGTCACTAATACAGCAGCAGTCAAAACAGTCATTTCATTAAACTTTTCCCCCTTGTTCTGGTAGACCATTGCCTCTGCCAAACTTTGAGTCGCTACACTTAAAGTAGAGGTGGGAAAAGAATGGATTTATGTAAAAATTGAGATTCTTATCTCCTAACATTTAAAAAAAATTCATAACTTCGTAACTAACCCTAACCCCACAAAAAAAAACGAAATTCAGCCAGTCTCACAGATGACTGGAGTAGATCCTGAAGTATGTATACTAATTCAAAAATAGTGACCAGAAATGAAACCAGAATCGTTTATGAATCGAAAATAGATTCAGAATCAAATCATGTCCCCAAGAATTAAATTTGAATCGAATGAGACACCCAAACTAAACGAGTCAAGTATGAAAATAAAAACACAAAGCACTAATGACGACATCATGTCCTCCAACAGTGAGTGAGGAGCTAACATCCATAACTGATCACAAACACTGTGTCATGCTTTGAAAGCAGCCCCTCATGATTATTACATTAAATACTTCAATCCAAAACCTGATACAGAATTAGATGAGATATTGTTTAAGTTATCTTTGAATCTGAAAAACTAACTGGCATGAACAATGAAGAAATAAACTCAACATGGGGAAAAATGAATCTGTGTTGTAAAACTGGCCGAGATGTGACTTTGTGAGGAATGTGAATGAATAAATGATTTTAATCATTCAATTGTCTTCCTAATGTGCTCAAACTAAAAGGCAATTGGCTCGCGCAAAATGCAATGTCATATCACAGAAGCCCTATGGCCAAATAAAAAAAGGAGCACACTCACACAGACTGGCCACCTCGGTCCCTTAATGAGGCCCGGTGGTTTGTTGTGCGAAACTGCGGAGGTGTCGTTTTAATCACTGGAGTCAGTGTGGCGTGGCCTAAGTTGGCCCTTTTTTAATTACCTTACTGATTGAGCACAGTCAAGGATGGGGGAGCCTGCCCACTCTCTTGGTGCCAGCCTCTGTGGAACCAGGCCCCCCCCCCCCCATCCCATCCCACGCCCTGTTCTGTGCGTTGTAATGAATAAGTAACATTCAGATGTCCTCTGCTGAATATGTCAAGATGTCAAGATACAAGGGATGTGCACCCACACATTAAGAACAATAACTTACTGATGGGGAGGGAAAGGTGGAAAGTTTGTAAGTGTTTCTGACTCTACCATAAACTCTGATAACTAAAACCATGTAACTCAACCCTAAAATATCAACTTTATTATCCATAGCAAAGAAGCTACTGCGCAATTATTTTTCGTATGACTAAAAATAAACGAATAACCCCAGTACTAACAAAAAATAATTTACTTAAAAATGACTTTGTACTTCTTAAAGGCTTTATATGCGATTTTTCACACTTAAATATAATAGAAATCAAGTATATCCTCTAAAAATAACTCTGTGAGTAATGACTGTCTACAATGGGTGTAACACCCGAGTCCCGCTGTCTGTGATGCTTTCCGAGTTTTCCGAGTCCCATCATCTGTTTGTTTACATCGCCAGGACGGCCGGCTGACTCCTCCCCTCGCGTATAAAAGTTGTTTAATTGAGGGACTAGAGAAAAGAAGAATAACATACTGTACTCACTGCTTAACTGAATGTCACGTAAGCGTTTCTAGATCACGGTCATTTTGGGTAAATTTACATGCAGTGTGAAGAGCATAATAAAGATCGCCAGCATTAGCATGCGAACACAACAACACAGCTGGTTGTGTGACTGAACAAAAGAATAGCACTGCACAGTCAGACCTTAAAACAAAGAGGACACTCCAGAGGTTTTTATAAAAATGTAAGTTCAGCCTAAACCTCTCCTGACCACAGGAAGGAGAAGGGTTATTTTGACAGCAAGAGTGACAAGGCATAATGGAGGGCCACTAATTACAGCAATAATTCATTAACACTGACTGTAACAAGAAAGAATTAATCTTTTCATTAAAAGTACGAGAATGGCAATGAATCATAATATGACTAAGGCTACAGCTGGGCCCGTTTTTAAAATGAAGACTAATTACAAACTGTAAGAAAAGTTGGAGACAAAAAGCTTAAGGTGGCTCAAAGAAAACACCCACATAATGAAAACATCATTAAAATTCAATAAAGCTGGACTTAAAATAAATCCTCGGACAGTTCATTCCCTCATAACCTTTGGCTGTTAATTAACCAGGATGCTAAAGAGGCGGCACACACGTTTCAGAATCAAATGAGAGAAAAATGATTTGTTTCTTTGTTTTTTAAAAGAAGAATCCCTCCTGTGGCGTATGCACATATTTTTTAAGCTTGAAAATGTGATGGACAAACATTTTTTTTTAAGCTTTAAGTCAAGAAGTATTAGGAATATTGTCCCCCAACTACTCCATCAGCCATTCTCCAACAAAGTAGGAACCTTTCATGCTTGTCCTTACTTTTTCGCTATTCATTTGCTGTTGAAAGTGTAGTATGTATTATGATTTTTAGTATACTGAAATAAAACTCACCTGCTGGTGCAGGAGGTGGTGGAGGAGGAGGAGGAGGAGGCAAACTCGACTCAGGGACTACCACTGGCTCTGGGACAGGAGCAGGGGTTGCTGGTACCACTGGGGGCTGAGGAGGAGGTGCAACTGGTTCACAAGGAGCAGTAAACTCAGGCAGGGAAGGGGCAGCAAATAGCTCAGCAGACTGTGGGGACAAAGCGTCACCTGGAGGATGCAAAAGTGGCGGCAGGATGGTAGCAGGCTCAAAAACAGCAGGGGCGGATAGGGGTTCTGATTCGGGCAGGGGGTGAGTAATGATGGGTTCAATGAGCAAGGGAGGAGGAACTGGCACAGGTTCGGCTACAGACAAAGGAGCAATGGATTCATTAACATGAGCAGGAGCAATGGCTTCAATTACCGAAGGTGGCAAAGCAACCGACTGAATTATGGGAGGAGGTGGAGATGGTTCAATTACAAGGGGAGGAGGAGCAAGCAGAGCAATTTCTTCCACCACAGCGGGAGCATGACAGGGAGGAGGAGCAGGAGGGACAGATGTAGGCAAAATTACCGGCTCTGCAACAGCAGGAGCAAGAGGAGGAGGAGGTGCTGCCACAGGCTCAAAAGCAGGAGCAGCAACAGTATTAGCAGCAGCTGGTGGTGCAATGGTCGGTGCTGCTACCTGTTCTGTGGGAGGTTGAGGTTGAGGAGGAGGTGGTGGTGGTGGTGGTGGAGATGGTGCTGCAACAGCCTCTGTGGCTGATTGAGCTGGTGGAGGAGATGGAGGAGCAACAAGTTCTATCAGAGGAGGAGGAGGTAAAGAGGTGATCGGGTCAAACGGGGGAGGCACTGGCAAGAGAAGAGGAGAGGGAGTGAAGGTAGGCGCCTTGGAAGGTGGTGGAGCGGGAGCATGGTTTGGATTGGGAGGAGCAACAGGTTCCCTCATGCGGTTGATGACATTCTCAGAAAGCTGCAAAGGAAAAAAGGAGTGGAAAAAAGTTTCAGTTGGACAACAAAATAAAAACACGTTACTTTAACATCCAATAGTTCTGAATAAACAGATCTACAGTCAAGTCAAACTTAAAGCTGCTGTGAACAAAAGAGAGAGAACCACTGATAAAGAAGCACAAAACAGAGAAACGTGGCATTATTATTGGATTGTTTCACAGTGTTTTGTTCTAAATACTTAGAAACATTGCCACGGCTGCAGACGAACATGCAGGATGGAGCAGGTTTCTGATTGTATGCTGTGGCTCTTCATCTAGGTGCTGTGTCTCTGCACTGCCCTCCTTCAGACCCGCAGCCATGCCTCGAGACTGTTCTAATTCAAAAGGTGGGCAAACACCAACATTTTGCCTTCGTCATTTAAGCATCTCATACAGATGCACAACTTACATTAGCGTCTGTTGCTGAGGGAGCCCCACATCACTGCACAATGATTGACACACAGGACTGTCCAAAACAAAGCAAAATAACAAAATCCAAACACACGCAAACAGACTTCTTTCGGTTAAAGCAAATGTCAAATGAGTTAGTGTGTTTGTTGACTTTTCTGCTAAAGCACTGTGTACAGGCCGGTTATTAAAAACGTTTTTTTTTATTTTAGGAAGATAACAATGATGGGTATTTTTGCAAAAACTGCTCCTATGGTGAAACATGCACTTGGTTTAATTGCAGAAGACAAAGCTTGGTCTTTCAATCTCATTACCAACCCCTAAAAACACTGGTATAAACAGGATTACAACTCATGGAAAGTCAACATTAGCCTTTGCCTGGTTTGCACACGTACAAATGAATAAAAATAGACAGAGTCATGCTAAGTAAAGCCTTATCTGATCCAGTAAAGCCTCTCTATCTACATTTAACATCAGCTGACAGTTGCATACGTTAGGAAACACTTGTGACAGGTCCCTACGAAATACACCAAAAATGATTGTCACTTCATTTATCGTTTTCACAAAGGGAAAGGTAATAAAATAAACATCTGCGACAGGCCAGAGTTACTTTCATTCATTCATTCAATGACAGCAGAGCACGAGGGCAGTGACGTCATCGTCAACATACCTGCAAGGACATTCAGAACTGTTTTCATCTTTAAATCTCATTGTCACTGCAATAGTTACTAACTACATCCGAAAACGGTGTGTCTTTACACAGTGCAATAATCTAACCTCTTTTAAAAGGTTTAAATTAAACTCGGGTTGCTTGCAAGTCAGCGAGCACTCACACTAACTAAAAAAGAATTGCACAGCTTATATTTATCATAGAATTTGAAAAAAAAATATCCCTTTGAGAAAGTCAAGAAACACCTTTTAATTCAACTCCGAACAGGTTGGTGTACTTTCACTCACCCGTATGCCCTTCACCACCGTTATGTTCTCGTTTTCGTCTGACTCAAATGACACTCTTCGGGTACTGTTATTCGCTCCCATTGTCAGGCTGCAGGTTTTTGCCTACATGTAATATTTCTTTAATGACAATATCTTTTAATTAGTTTGCGTATGCGCCAGGTACAACTGGCAAGGGCCCACAACACCACTGCTTCTGCACACCCGCACTTCCTTAGCATGACGTGTGTGAGCGTCGTCGGTTTTGATTGGACGAAAGTGTCTTTGGGTTTAGTATCAGCGGTTGTGATTGGATATGTTGAAGTACAAGCCTGGGAGTGTGGCACTGTATGGCAAGCCGTATAACATTTAACAGCTATCCATTTTTTTTTTTTACTCTAAATTAACTTCCAGAATCTCATGCAGAACTTGCAGATCATGAAATTGCAGCTGGAAATTTGACCATTTGTCGGCTGCATTTCAAGGAGCTTTCAGCCACTGTCAAGCCGTAATAACATTTAACAGCTAGATTGGATATATAAAATAGAACTCTGAAATTCATTATCGGCAGGCTTTTCCTATCCACAATTGTAATCTTAAAACAATCCATATTTTCTCTAAATTAACTTCCAGAATCTCATGCAGCCTTGCAGATCATGAAATTTCAGCTGGAAATTTGATATACCTCAAGGAGAGATGATATGAGGAATGACAGTTCACAAGAATCATCCTCTGAACTTGATATACACACAATCATCTACTACAGTTTTCTATTGTGCTCTCATCCACAAATTTTTTGTGTTTTCTTTATAATTGCAATTCCATGCACAAATAAATCAATACAAATATTTTTAAGAATTTAAAAAGAAACTCTGAAGATATTTGCAATATAAGACTACACACCTGAAAGGCTGAGAGTACATTTAAACATCATTGATGAGGAAAAGAAAGGAAAGGATGGACAGACAGCGAGAGAGAGATTTTAGATCTGACCTTCGATCTACCAGAATGTCCTTACTTTATTTGAACATAAAAGCAGGGTTGATTTCAAACAACAGTAAAGCACTCTCAGTAATAAAAGCCTAACAATTTTCATTTTTCAATGCGGCAGACAGAAAACCTCAATCAGAACCAGACTTTAGTTGAACAGCCATCTGTCCCGACTGTGTTGGGCTTGGAAAGAGGTGTAGAGGGAGATGCATAAAGAAACAGATGGATACAGAGAGAAAGCAACAACACCAAAAACAAGAATGAATACAATCAATTTATACCTACAATGTCAGTCAGTCTTGTCTGAGTTAAGAAGCAAAAATAATTCAGGTCCTAATGTCCTTGAGGCATCATGCTTGTTTACATAACTAGTTAGTGTCAACCAGCCTCATTGATATACAATTGAGTATCATCTGCAAAGTAATACAAAATGTATGCAATTTTTCCTCATGATATTACCTAGAGGATGCCTATATAAGGTGAAAAGAATATTTCCGATCACAGAACCTTGTGGAACTGCATGACAAACAATGAATCTTAGTATATTTTGGGCCACTGGACGGATTCTCCTGGAAAGACCATTTGTCGGCTGCATTTCAAGGAGCTTTCAGCCATTGTCACAATACAATGTTACAATGTTACAATTCACTTTTTCACTTTTTTTTATCCAAAGCAACGTACATACACTGCCACCGAAGCAGCGTGAGCAATGTCAGGTTAAGTGTCTTGCCCAAGCACACATCGGACATGTTGCTCAGATGGGGATGAAACCCTCGACCTTCTGGTTGAGAGGCGACAACTCTACCAAATGAGCCACAGCCGCCCTATACATATTTATATATACATATTTACACATACATATTCATTGTGCTCATGCATCACTTCCACTTTGTCTGCCTGATCGAAATTTGCATTATCACTGATCAGGATCTTGAATATCTTGCATGTACCATTTTAAACATTGGAAGAATCAGTCAAGTATAATAAGGCACATAAGAAGATCATTCATATTCATTTTTGTTCTTTGATCACACTAAGTCTATATTTCTTTGCTCTTTTTTGGGAATATCTCATACTTTGCTTGAATCCAATGATGTTTGAGTTGATTCAACAATGGGCTTACATTAATCATTAACTCTTATTTTCTTAATCTGCACAATTAAGTGTGTAATGTGACCACATTTTAAATATAAATATATAAATATAAGTTTTTAATCAAAAGTGTATCGTTGTGTTTGCCTTAATGCAGGTGAGTAATACATTTGAAATGTAAGCCATATTCTGAAGATAATCTTGCAAAAATCAGGATAATAGATGCAATGTTTAGGTGTTCCTCTTTACCAAGGACACAAGACAATACTTATCTTCTTGTTACTCACCAAGGGATGAATTTGTTTCCAAGAGGCATCATTGAAGAGGTGAAAGTACTTTATTTAACCAACCCTCTTATCGCTCCTTATTTCCTCTAATTATACTTTTTAAAGCTATTGTCTTTAACCTAGAAGTTAATAAGCACTCCAAATTAGATTAACGAAGATTTTTAAGGCCGAGGACATTCATTATTTATTGATCACAAGAACCATATAAGGGAAAGGACCTGCTTAATTGAAGCGTTGCTATTATTGATCTTCTATTATACTTATATTTGCTGTTTATTCAACAGACATATTTTTTAATTATGTGCTATGCTGGAATAAGTAGAGCTTTTTTTTGAGCTACAAAAGTTGCCTCTTACACTATTCTTTACTGAACATAAGATGAAGGACACAGAGGGATTGTGAAGCAACATTTGCATTTAAATCCTTACATTAAAGATCATATAGACGTACTACAAAGACCCTATTGTTCTTGTATTTAATCCACACACAGGTCAGCCTGTCAAAGCAATCAGTTAGCGTCCAAACACACAACAAGCTGCACACAACAAGCTGGAAGAAATAACCTTGGCCCTGAGTTATTGAAGAAAAGAAACCCTGTAGATTAGTTGGACTGATGGGACTTGGCCTGCAGGGAGAGGTGATAAGAACTTCAAAATTAAACTTGGAAGAGAAGCTTGGCACCTTCCAAAGAAAAACAGTGACTCCTGGATGACACAGCGATTGTTTCTTTTTTTTGTCAGGAAGGGACACAAAGATCACCCACAATGTTATCTCGTCAGTCCACCGGTGCATCAATCAAGGCCCAGGCTGTTGGGAATCGACCCCTTTTGACTCAGAATCAATGCCCTCTCCTATTCTCATCGGTACAGCAGAGATTGTCAGAGATACAGAGCAGGAGAGCCCTGCCAAATCCAGCACTTCATGTTGTAAATGGGAGAGGCTATTAACTCACTGACACACAGTCTTTTTCTTTTTTTTTCTCGCTCGACCTTTCCTTTATCAGTCTCAAGAGGACTGGATTGAAAATGTTACGATGAAGTAGTTATTTCTATCGTGATATTGGCATTGTAAATGACTTAAAACATCAATCTACTGCAAGTATCATTTCCCTGCACTCTAACGAGAATCTGTACTATTGTGCAAAAAAAAAAATCTGTCATCAATTAGGACTGAGACCAATTTAGAATATTTAAGAACTAATCTTAAAATAGATTTGTTTTTCTTATGAATGGCTTTTTTGTCTTTGACAAAATATTTTAAATGTAATGAAAAATAAATAAATAATGTAATGTAGGCTATATTTTATGAGTCAGAGAGAAAATCTAGCTGGACTGTCAAAATCAGGAAAACTGGGTGAAATTCAAACAGAGGAAACCCTCCAACAATGTTTTTTATCTATTTTAATTTGTATTATATATTTTCATATATGCCTATTTTTTATAATTAACCATTTTGATTTAATTTCATTAGAATCTTCTCATTTCTCACCCTTGCTTCGTGAGAAATCTCAGAAATCTATACCTCTCTTGAAGCATCCACTTTACAAATAAAACCTACAACTCCCAGAATGCCTCGGTGTATCCTCGCGCTTCTGTCTTCCTGTTTGGGTGCCGCAGCTGGAAAAATGGCAGCTGACACAGGGAGATACAGGAGTGCAGTAAGCAAAAACAAAGACCCTTCCGGACTTCTTATCTCCGTCATAAGGTGAGGTTTCTCATGTGCTTTACATTAAGTTAACACGCTGGTTGGACGTCAGGTAGAGCCTGAGGTGTGCTTACACTGTCGGAAAGACACGGAATGGCAGCTAGCTTTCATGCTAAAGCTACATGTTAGCAACATCCTTCCTGTGTTGCTGAATTTATGAAAGATGAATAAAAGCTTCCGTGTTCGCCATTACTATTAACTAAATACAACCTATTGCATTTTTCCGATCACAACATGTAGCCCTCTAAGTGCTGCAACTGCTCCATAGCAACAAGAAAATGTTTAACTTATATGAAGTGAATAAAACATGATTCTTCTGCTGAGTGTATGAGTTTTTATATTTGAAAACACCTCTACTTTATCTGTTGTAGATGTTATATAATGTAATAAATATACACGTTCATATTAATATGCTGCATCATGTATTGTTAGTGTTGTTGCCATACAAAGTCTATTATTGTCACTCACAGACCCCTGACTGTTTCTACTGTAAACTGCCTGTGACCTCAGTTATCCACTCCAAACTTGATGCTCAACTGAGACTCATGAGGTGAACTTCACCTTGTTGACCTTATTGTAAACTGTCTATTCTCTCCTCTTGGTTGAAGGACTCTGTCCAGCAGCGATGACGTTGAAGACAGGGAGACAGAGAAGGGTCGTCTTGAAGAGGCCTTTGAGACATGTGACAGGGATCTCGATCAGCTGATTGTTCAGCATTATGCCGAACTCACCACGGCCATCCGCACCTACCAGAGCATTACTGAGCGCATCACCAGCTCCCGCAACAAGATCAAACAGGTAGGAAGAAGGGGGCTTGTTCGACGTTTTTTTTTGCATACTAGACAAATGACTTTGTATGGGTGTGTAAGCCACGTCGAGAATTCATGCTGAATTTTAAAGCATTAAGTCTGAGCCGTGTCATTAAAAACAAATCACTTTTTTTCATTCCTATTAATTTGTCTCTTCATATATTTTAAAAGGGTTTTCATCTCCCTGTTTAGGCTTTTATTATTTCCCAAGTGTGAAAATCAGACTTAATTAGAACATAGCCTGTCTGCCTGAAAAGAAACTCTCTGTAAAGCAATCGAGAGTTGTATTCTGAATCCTGCTCTGGGTATAATTCTCTCCTTAACACCTCCCAAAATGTATGAAATGGGAACATTGGCCCCTTCATGAGTAAT